TTTTTTTTTTTTTTTTTTTTTTGCAAGAGTTAAGTAAGATTCAATTTTATTATTCTGGGAGGGGAGGGGTAGGAGTTGAAAGTACGTCTTCATTTTGTAGACATCATCTGTACGAATTCTTCATAGTTGACTTGTCCGTCCCCGTTGATGTCTGCTTCTCTGATCATTTCATCTACTTCTTCATCTGTTAGTTTTTCTCCTACGTTTGTCATGACGTGACGTAGCTCTGCCGCACTGATGTAACCACTGCCATCCTTGTCAAAGACTCGGAAGGCCTCGCGGATTTTTTCTTCAGTGTGTGTGTCTTTCCTTTTTTTAGCCATCATAGTCAAAAAGCCTGGGAAGTCAATGGTGCCATTGCCGTCAGCGTCCACTTCATTGATTATATCCTGTAATTCCGCTTCCGTTGGGTTCTGACCCAGTGACCTCATGACTTTTCCAAGTTCCCTTGTTGTGATGGTTCCTTCACCATCTTTATCAAATAGGGAAAAAGCTTCCTTGAATTCAGCGATCTGTTTTTCGGTCAGTTTATCAGTCATGGTGCCAGCGACGGGAGGAAGCGCAGAGGGAGGAAGGGCGGCTGCACCAGCTCCGGGCTGTGATGGCCCCGGGTGCCTCGGCTGCTTCTGCGGCGGCCGCTACTGCTGCTAAGGGGCCTGGTGCGGAGTGCGTGTGCCGCCTCCGCCTGCGCCGCTGCCGACTGGAAATAACGGCTACAGGACCGCGAAGCGCCCGGCACCGTATCCCTCCGCCATGGCGCGCGAACTCCATTTATTATGTACATAAATATTCACATGCATACTAAGGTTAAAAAAGAAAATCTTAGCGATCATATAGATTGTCATGGATTGAATAGTATCACCCTTACATTATATATCAACTTGGGTAGGCTGTGATTCCTAAAATTGTTTTACTGTCTGCCGTTTTGTAACCTGGTGTAATGATAGAATGTGTCTTAAGTCTTAACTGCTATGTATTAATGAGCCAGGATTAATTAGGGATGAGTCTTGAGTCAAAGCCTTAAAAAAGAGTTCAAGTCAAGTAACACTATTGCTCAAGTCACTACGTTTTTGTTATTAGAGATGAAAGAACAGAGAAGCAAACAGAGGGGAGAGGCCTCACAAACAATAAGAAAGAACAGTTAAGAATGAAGCATGTCATTTGGATACAGAGTCCCTGTGCCAAGAACCTGAGACTCAAGGAAAGATAAAGTGAAACGTATAGGGACAAGAAAGCGGCAATATTAACAAGAGACCAGGCCTTCCCAGGAGATAAGAGAGAGAGAGAAAAGAATGCTTTCTCCTAGGACTGGCTTTCTGAATTTAGACTTCTAGCCTCTATTCCCTGGTGATAATACGTGTTACAGCAACACTAGAAAATTAAGACACAAGCCTATTACCTCATTTTACAGACTGGGGAAACTAACTGAGGCCAAGAATGGTTAAGTAACTTTCTCAAGTTAACTAAATAATTATCATAACATGGAAATTGAGAGTCTAGATTTCCTAATTTCAGATTTTGTGCTATTAGCATTAAAAATACTATCAAGATGAGTGCTAGGTTCCCACTGGAACTGCTCTAAGTCATTTGTGTTCCTTTATTCCAAGATAATAGGTCTTACTGTACATGCATATTTTATTAAGTACCATTTAAGTAGCGGAGAAGATTATTCTTAACACACTGACGAGAGGCAAATCAACTAATTAGAATAGAGTATTATTTACTAAAGGATAAAAAGCTAAGTGCTTTTAAAATGGAGATAAGTGATTTTTCAAGTTACAAATTCTTTATATTAGGCTGTCAACCTTACCCAAGTGGAAGAACAGTAATCAAATTAAAGGCCATAATTAAAACTTTAAGGTACTTGAGTCTTTGAATTTCAGATGGAATTTCTTTGATAGGATTATTTCTTAGTTTTAGAATTTTCAAATTTTTAAGACAAAATACCTGAGGAAAATAAAAGCAAAACAAATATTAGTAAGATAATAAGATACACAAATTGCTTATTTGGTATCTTTACAAAATCTTTAATGATATGGAGCATCTGTATAGAAATATTAACTGGATATATCATACAGTTCAATAAATACTCTCACAAGCCTTCCAAGTTAGTGACCAGCATTTATACACATGATATGGTGAAGTAGTGAAATTATTCTTTTCACATGCCCTCATCTCTAGAGTGTCCCATCTCTAAATGAGAAAGACATCCAGCTTGACCAAGTTCATAGTTTAATGAGTCATTTATGCAACGATGTAAGAGGAGAAGTTATCTGTAGAATCAGGAAGATGAGTAGTAGTAATCTTAGTAATCAGTAGATAATAGCCAGATCATCCTCACTCTTGATTTCCTAAAAACTGACATCGTAAATGAAAAAATAAACCCACGTAAATTTATGACCTTTTCTTAATATAGTTTTTGCCTTCTGATAAGGCCTAACATTGTTGTTGCTGTTAAGGGTCACAGAGTTAACTCCTACTCGTAGCTACCCAATGTGCAAGAGATTGAAACCTTGCCTGAACCTCCTCCATCTTCATATTCTCTGCTGTGCTGAAGCCCTGCAGGCGCTGTACCAATCTATCTCACTGAGATTCTTCCTCTGCATTTCTGACTCTTCTCTTTTCCAAGCATAATGTTATCTTCCACGTCCTGTTCTTCCTCTCAGTGTATGAGACTAAATGTCACCATTCTCACTTCTAAGCAGCACTCAGGCTGAACATCTTCCAATGTAAATGTGGTTATTCAGGTTCAATGCATCAAATCCATTCTTGAAATGGTGTCTAAATTCAGGTGGGATATGTGCTCAAGGTTGCATTGTGGCTCCAATTGATTTATTTTGAACTTGCATATTGACAACGGATTCCACAGTTAGTCCCTGGCCTTTTTGTGACTGATAATATTGCACTATCTCACCATCTCACCACAGATAGATTTTTTGTGGTTCCTTTGTATTTCATTAGGTGAGGTCTGTGGGTATAGTTAAAAAGGATATTTTTGATGAACAAGTTGTTGGTAGCACAAAATTCTGTTATGTGACCTCTGACCTCATTTCTGTTGCCAGAGTCATATTTTCTGACTACTAATCATTTTTCTGTTTCCAAATTTTGCGTTGTAATCACCAGTTATTATTTATGCATCTTGTTTGCATGTTCAATTAATTTCAGATTGCAGAAGTTGATAGGAATCATAAATTTCATCATCTTAGATTTTAGTAGCTGTTGCATAAATTTGAAGTAGTCCTATTGATAGATACTTTTTGTATAAACATGAATATTATCATGTACATACAACTCTGTACGTCAGAATAGATCTTGAAATGTTCTTTTTGTACATCTTTCCTCCTCAATTTATTATTTCCACACAGTAGATTATATGATTATCCAATTCAAAATGGACAATGCTAGCCCATTTCATACAAATAAAGCATGTTATTGTTAGATGCCATCAAGTCAAGTATGACTCATAGCGACCTTACAAAAAAACAGACCTGAACTCTTTTCTGTCCTGGGTCATCCTCATCATTTCTGACATACTTGAACCCATTGCTGCAGTCACTTATCATTCTTTCTGGTTACGGGTCTTCCTCTCTTTCGCCATCCTTCCACCTTCCCAAGCATGATGTCCTTCTTCACAGAATAGCCTCTCCTACCATCATGCCCAAAGTGTATGAGATAAAGCTTATAACCTTTGCTTCCGAGGAGCACTCTGTTTGCACCCTCTCTGAAACAATTATGTTTGGGGTTTTGCTTTGGTTTTTAAGTTCATGGAATTTTCTCCAGCTCTCTTCTCCAACCCCACAGCTCAAAGGCATCAATTCTTCTTCTGTCATCCTTATTCACTTTCTGGCTCTCAGATGCATAGCAAGTGATTGAAAAGACCATAGTCTGAATGAGGTGCACCTTAGTCCTCAAAACTAATATAATTCCTCATCAATTATTTGCAGAGGTCCCTGACTGTGGACTTTCCTAGTGCAACACTTTTCTTGACTACTAGTGCCAAGTGTATTGATTATGGATCCAAGGAAGATGAATTTTCTGACAGTTTCAATCTTTTCTCCATCTATCATGAGACAAATGAGACCAACCAAAGCATAGCTTTTGGGTGTATTGTTTCACTTTTGACAACTTCTAAGTTTCCTAGATTCATAATTCACACAAGAAGTATTTAAAGTATGTATTTGAAGACTTGAGATCCCTATATTCCTTGGGAATTATTCCAATTTTCCTTAGTCAAATTAATAAAGCTGGTTTTTCTTTTTAAAAAAACTAACTCTTCCTTGTGAAAGTAAGAGAAGCTATGGAAACAATATTTGCTTCAATACTTGTTGATTGTTGTCAAGTCAAGCACAACCCATAGCAACCCTATGAACAAATGGCCTGAAGCCTTTCTATAACTATCGTCATTTATCGAAGTTTATCAAGTTTCCAGAGACATGTTGTTTAGGAAGTGGATGCTACTCTTGCTTCCAAATCTGTTAAACTGGGAGTTCCACCAAATACTGTCTACCGTGGATAACCATTATGGCATCTGACACCCTAATGGCACAAGGTTCAACACCATAGCAACCCCACGTTACCTCTACTCAGCATACTGACAGAAGAGTGCTGTACCACTTAGAAGAATGTTCCTCCAAAATATAATAACAACTGACTTAAAAAAAAAATAACTCACTTTTAAACACAAAGGCCCTCTCTGAGGTCTTGTTGACTTTAAACAAGAAGGTCAAATAAAAAACCAACCAACATAGTATGTTGTTGTTGTTATGTGACATTGAGTCACCTGCAACATATAGCAACACTCTGTACAGCAGCTCTGAATCCTTCCCTGCCCTAAGCTAGTCTTACTCATTCTGATGCACCAACCCCCATTGCCCCAGATACTGTATCCAACTCGTCTGGGGTCTTCCTCTCCTGTGCTGTCCCTCCACCCTTCCAAGCATGATGTCCTTCTCCAAGGACTTGTCTATCCTGGACACATGCCCAAAGTACATGAGACAGAGCTTCAAAATCCTAGCCTCCAAGGAGAAATTTGGGTTCACCCTCTCCAAAACAGACTAACTTGTTTTCTTGGCAGTCCATGGTATATTCGACTCTTCTCCAACACCACATCTGGAAGGCTTCTATTATTCTTCTGTATTCCTTAGTCATTGTCCAGTTTTCTTAAGCATAACAAGCAATTTAGAAGACCATGGCCTGGATTAGGTGCACATTTGTGTCTAGACTAACATCATTACTTATCAGCACTCTGGAGAGGTCCAAGACAGCAGATTTTCCCAGTGCAATTTGTCTTTTAGGCAGGCCAATTTGCTCAAAGGTAATTAATCGAAAGTCAGATTCAGGACATCAGCTTAACCAGTGAACAAATGACAATGAACGCACAAACTGATATAATTATTAATAATTAATTATTTATTTATGTGTCATTGAATGAAAACTAGCCATCTCCAACTATCCTCAATAAGAAATATAATCTATTTAAACCTGTGGGGGTTTAAATTTTATCATAACTCACATTTGGTTATAACTAATTTTGTTTTTAAAGTTTCCAGTTACTAAATTCATAGTTTCATGAATCAATTATGCAGTTACCAATTATGTAATCACCCAATTGCAATTTCCTCTTTAAGATGCTGAAGAGCAAGAGTGTCAATTTAAAGATAAAGGTACACCTGATACAAGTCATAGCCTTTTTAATTGCTTCATATTGTTGATGATGAGTATTATTGAGTCAGAAATTGACCCATTGCTGAAACTTTACAGGGTTTTCAGAGGCGGTAAATCACACGGGAGGTGATTGCCCATCTTTCTCCAGCGTGGATTCTAACCACATGCTTACTTTTGAGTTAGCAGCACAGTTCCTTACCATTAAGCCAGCACACCCTGCCATACATATGTAAAAACTGAAGAAGAATGAATGGCTTTGAATCATATTATGGGTGTAGAATACTGATTATAGCATGAACTACCAAAAGAACAAACCTAGCTTGGAGCAAGTGCAACCAGGGTGCTCTTTTGGAAAAAGACATCATGCTGGGCAAAGCACAGAGTCAGTGAAAGTAAAAAAAAAAAAAAAAGTCATTGAGATAAAATAACACAGAATCTGCAACAATGATCTTGATCTTGGATCGGTTAGGTTAGGTTAGAAGTCATTGAGTACAACCCATAGCAACCCTATGAACAATAGATCTGAACCCTCTCCAATCCTGGGCCATTCTCACACATCCTGATACGTTAAGGTCCATTGCAGCAGACACTGCATCAATCCATCTGGTTGAGGGTCTTCTTCTCCTTTGTTGCCTCTCTGCCTTTCTGAGCATTATGTCCCTCTACGAGGAATAGCTTCTCCTAGCAACATGCCTGAGGAATATGAGATGAAACTTTGTCATCTTTGCCTACAAAGAGTATTCTGGCTGCACTTTCTGTAAGATATATTTTTTGTTCATTGTAATTTTGTTTTTTCTTTTGGCCACCCATGGGAAGTTCAGAATTTGTTTCCATAGCTCAAAGGTATGAATTCTTCTTCTGTCATCCTTATTCATTTTTATTCTTATTTAGCTTTCAGATGTATAGCAAGTGATCAGAAAGCTATATAGCTGAAGCAGACTTATCTTTATCCTCAAACTGACATCCTGGCGCCACAATAATTCGAGAGGTCCTTGAGTGTAGACCTTCCCAGCACAATATGCCTCCTAATCTCCTGACTGCTGGTACCAAGACTGTTGATTGTGGATCCAAGTAGGATGAAGTTGTTGAGAGTTACAATCTTTTCATCATCTCTCATGATGTTGCCTATTGGTCCAATGGTATGAATCTTTGTTTTCTTAACACTGAGATGCAATCCATATTGAAGGCTGTATACTCCAATCTTCTGCAACAAGTGCTTCAAGTCCTCCTCACTTTTAGCAAGCAAGGTTGTGTCGTCTGCATAATACAGGTTATTGGTGAGTCTCCATCCAATCCTAATGCTATATTCTCCTTCATAGAGTCCAGTTGGATAGGAAAAATATTTTTTCATTGTTTATAGGGTCTCTACCTGATAGCACTTAAAAAGAATTATAATAATTTTTGAAGATTATATCATAAGATTTTCTTTAAAAAAGATGAACTATACTTTTGACATTTCTGTACTTTTTAATGTTATGGACATAACCAAAATATATTTACTTTAAAGGAGCTCTGATGGTATAGTCGATAGAGCATATATCTGCTACTCAAAATATATTTACTTTCTAGTAACTCCAGAATATCATAAAGTAGCTATTTTCATTATTGTTATTACTTATAATAAGAAATTTTATGGTGATATAATCAATAATAAAAATGAACTCACTTCTGTGGGAAAGGTGCTAATATCATTAAATGACAAATTAAGGTAAATCAATTGAAAAGCCAAAGCTGATAAATCTGGACAATTGAGAAGAAAAAATCCCTAAAAGACATAGACAAGAATTAAGATATTAACTTTCTATATGCAAAATACTTGTGTAAGAGTTTAAAAAATTCATATAGTCTGGTTGCTTGACATAAAAGTTTATGCTTATCTTCCATTATTTTTACAGCCTCAGTGTTTATTCTTCAACATGACCCCCCAGCAGGTTTTCATAGGTAATAAATTGCACAGAGACTACCCACCCTTGCACAGAATTACACTAGTAACTTAGAAAGTACCTATATAGTAAATCTGTATTATGATAATGAATACATTTGTTTTGCATAAATTATTATTAATATAAATTTTATTTCTTTAACAAAACTCTGAGTTAAGACTAGGATTTATGACTTTTAATTATTTTATGGCAAAATAAAAAATCATAACAGGTTATTTCAAAGGGTAGCTTGAGAAGACAAAGTACTATGAGGAGACATGCAAAGAACAGGATTAAGAAAACCAAAAGAGAACACAGTTTGCATTTTTTTCAGCTGAAAGAAATGATGAGACAAGCTAAGCCTTGTGTTCCAATATTGAAGGATTCCATGGGGGTAGGGCAGATAAAAAAGATGACTGAAAGAAAAAAATATCAGACTAAAAAAAAATCACAGTTTCCCAAAGAATTGTAGACACTTTACCATTATAGGAAGTAGCATATGATTAATAGAATCACTGCTAATGAATGATTACTAGAATCACTGCTAATGAATGATGAAGTGAAAGCCTGAAAAAAATCAAGGCTCCAGGTACTGAGAAATTACCAACTGAAATGTTTAAAACAGCAAATGTAATGCTGGAAGCACAATGGCAAGTCTACAGCAGGAAAACTGGAGTCAGTTACCCAGTCAACCAACTGGAAGATGTTGTTGTTGTTGTTATGTGCCGTCGAGTCGTTTGTGACTCATAGTGACCCTATGTACAAGAGCCCTAACTGTGCTCTATCCTGTGCCAATCTCATTGCCTCTGCGCTGTCCCTCTACTCTACCCAGCATGTTGTCCCTCTCTAAAGACCTATCTCTCCTTACAACATGTCCAAAGTATGACAGGCAAAGCCCCAGAATCCTCGCCTCCAAGGAGCAGCCTGGTTTAACCCTCTCTAGGATGAATCT